TTAAAGGCATGTGCCACCACACGCAGCCCTTGAACACTGAATATGATGGAAATAAGCTATTAATGGAGGTGAGGGCAGAGACTTTTGAAAGAGACTCAGAGAACTAAGTTACCAGGACACAAGTGCCCAGATAGGTACAGGAGTTAAAGTAAGCTAGGAAGAAGGGAGACTGGTGTGTGTGGACACAAAGAGGCATCAGGATGGGACAGCAAAGGTGTCTCCTCTAATGACTTCCATTTTCTAAGTGAAATCAGAGAGGAGATTATTCCCTTCGAGTAAAGAAAGAAGAGACAGGATAAGAGCCATGAGGAAAAGAATATTTGCAGTAGTTGTTTCGGAAAACTACAGTGAGATCCAGCTGGGAAAACAGAGCAGGATGACCAGTTAGCAGAGAGGGGTCTGCTGAGGTCAAGGGCCATGAATTTGGGATGCCACTTAAATGTGATTTTATGTGATTTTCTCCAGCCTCATTCAGTGGGGCAGGAAAAGCAGCAGAAACACTGGTAGCTGGGATCAACTCACAGGTGAGGACAGAAGAGTGAGGGAACAAGACGTTAAAGGGGTTAGGAAGAGAATGACTGAAGAAATGAACCATAATACCCAGGCTGGCTCCAGATGGAGTGAGGATTGGCATGGAGAGGAGGGAGAAAACAATGCCAGGCAAAACTCAAATGCAAAAGGCAGCTATGTGGGGCTAAGGGGTAAAGGTGTGGGGTAGTGAGAAGTTGTACAAAATTTAAGGTTTCAATCAGTGCAGACCTGATGGCCATATAGATATATGAACCCCATTAACAAGTACAATTAGATTTCATTTAAAAAGTTTTAAAGATTTCAGAGCTGGAGTTCTGGAATATTAGAAGACCCTAACCTGACTGTGTGTGTGTTTGTGTGTGTGTGTGTGTGTGTGTGTGTGTGTGTGAGAGAGAGACAGAGAGACAGAAACAGAGACATACAGAGAGACAGAGAGACAGAGAGGGAGAGAGACACAGATAGTCTCTAGGGAGCTTTCTCTCTACATTTGATCCAGTTGACAGTTAACTCTAGGGCCTCACCCTCACCTGACCTCATGCAGAGCTGGCATGGGACACAGACTCATAGGTTTTTCCCCCAGCTCAAGCAAGGGGCTCAGGAATGGGTATGTGACAAGGAAAGATGATCTCTCTCTCTTCTCAAAGATCCCCTACACAGATGCTAAGAGACAGAAACTCTTCTCAGTTCATAGGTAATAAAGACCATCTTCCCTGGTAGCATAGAGGAGCCCATGTACAGAAAGGAGAGAAGCCTGCATACAAAGAAGCAAAATCCAGCGAGGTGAGAACTGGATGGGAGCAAAAAGAAGCCAGACAAGTCTAAATCCCAGGATCTAACCAAGCTGAGGCTAATATACATCTCATTATCTTGAATAAGCCCTCGAAATCCTCTTTGCAGCATAAGGCAGACTATATACTACAGTCAAGGGTTTGAGTGATGAGACAATGGAAGCAAAGTTCTGAAAGCTGAGAAGACCCAGGTACTACAGAAATCATGTTGCATAAGCTGACATTAGGGGCACCAGAGTCACCCAAGATGAAGACGGTGCTCAGTGCGGTGAAGCGTTCAAACTTAGGAACGATTTGCAAAAGTCTTAAGTGAGCAACATAGACAGGATATTAGAAGGCAACCATCGTGAGGACCTGAAGAAAATTATATGCCAGTTAGATAGAGCTTCAAAACAGTGATGCTTTTTATAAAAGATAAGACCAAAACAATATATAAAACACACATGAGAAAGAGAAGCATCTGGTCCCCACTGACTCATGGGAAGCTGAGTGGGGAATCAGCCATGTGGATAAGACCACAATGTATGTATAAATTGAGAGAGACCAGGTCACAAGTTATGTCACTATAAATGTTACTCCAATAAAACTTAGACCCCTCTTCTAAGTGCAAAGGGTTATGATAAGACCACTACGGTGCACTTCCTTCACAGCTCTTCAGCCTACCACCCCTTGATTGAGGGAAAACTGGAAATTTAAATGGATCAAGCTTATAGCTTTTCATGAGATACTTTATGAAAATATTTAGATGTCTCAGTGACCAGAATAATATCCTCAGTAGCAATTTTATTCAAGTGTAAAAGAGTTGTTGGTACTAAATATTTTAAGACTTTATCTAGAAATCACATTAATCTAATGCATTTTATTGGACAACATAAAATATACATGGGTAATATGGAAGACCGAAACTTAACATAAAAATATGAATCCAGCCTGCCAACGCTGGAGTGCATGCACACAGAGAAAGCCAACGACCAACTGGCATTTTGACAAGGAAGAAATGGCTTTAACAACACATTTTCAACTTGTTCAAATAACAAACAGTTACTATGCATATCAACTCTATGCAGGTACAGAATTTATTTATGTCAGTCACATATCCCTTCCACTGAGAGTCTCTAGGGTAAATATTCAAACATTTTAAATATTTACGTATGTATCAAAAATTGGTATTTAGACACTTGGGCCATACATTTGGATAAATGAAAAGTACTTTCACATGATAAAGTATAGTACTAACCAGTACGGGTTATTTATAGTCTCCTGTATGAATCCTGACATACAATTCATGACAACTCAAAGGGAAACATAATATAGCACATTTATCACTTTAGACAGATGAAAGTCTGGCACGAGGAAATAACTGCTTAAGCTAAAGCTAACCAAATATGGTTATTGTTTTGTTTAGGGTTGCAGGGGGTTGGTTAATTGGTTAGTTAGCTGAGAAGGAGTTGGTTAGTTGGTTAGTTAGCTGCCTCCTTGCTTGCTTGCTTGGTTTGAGACAGAGTTTGCTCTGTAGCCCAGGCTAGCCTGTAACTGCAGTCCAGGCTGACTTCAAACCCATGTCAATCCTCTCGTCTCGGTCTCCTGAATGCTGAAGTTAAACGTGTATGCCTCCATGTCTGACTTAAACAGCATAATTTTAAAAACATATTGGCTGAGTCATTTACCCAGTTGTTGCAAGAATATTGTTTTTTCATTCAAACCAGAATATAGTCTCATTTTTGCCTTTGGGATTGATTACTGTGTCTCTGTAATCTCTTTTAGTCTTGAAGCCGCTTATACCATATTTGTGGTGAAGACTTGACATTTAGCTCTGTGTTTCTCATTTTCTATGAATGTTGAGAGACACTAGAATTTTTCTATTTGTTTTTTTTTTTTTTTTACTTTAATAAGATACATAAAAACACAAGGTGGGGCTGGAGAGGTGGCTCAGTGGTAAGGATGCTTGCTGTGCAAGCATGAGGACCTGGGTTCACATCCCAGCACTCATGTCAAAAATTGGGAGTGACTATATGTGTTCCTGTAACCCCTCCTGGAGAGACAGGAGGACCGCTGGGCTTGCTGACCACCAGCCTAGCTCCAGATTCAGTGAGAGACCCTGTCTCCAGAAGACAGAGTGGAGAGTGACGGGGAAGACAGCACATGCTCGCACAAAGGCAGAGGCGCCTGCACACACATGTAAGCACACACCTACAAACACACACAATCAGGGACAATTTATAAACATAAATTTCATAGTTTAAAATAAGGTAAATTTTCCAAAAGAGATAAGTTCTTAGTAATGCTAAGAATATGGTTTGCTAAAACATATCTGCAACTGAAATTTTGAAAGGCAAAAATTTATGTTTATAATAAAATCAAGATCATGAAAATTACCTTTACTGTTAAGTATATTTGTTACATTGGCAACAACAACAAAAAAAAAACTAGATAGAACTTACTCATCCTATAAGACTAGGCTCACATGAAAGATTTTATTTTTTGGTCTTTTTGAAACAGGGTCTCTCTGTAGCCCCAGCTGTCCTGGAAGGTGGCCTAGTAGACCAGGGTGGCCTTGAACTATGTAGACCAGGGTGGCCTTGAACTCACAGGCCTCTGCCTCCCAAGTGCTGGGATTAAAGGCATGCACCACCACACCCAGCAAAAGATTTTATTTTCAAAGAACCGAGGTTAGCCCTGCTCAAGTATTCAAAATAATACCAAAGAAGTCGGGCAGCAGTGGTAAAGAAACTGACTTTCTTAATGGACCTCAGACCTACATGTGTTTTATTCAAATGAGTTGCTTTTTAAACTCTGTCACTTTGTGTCTTTGGTTTTTGACTGTAAGGTTGTCTTCCTTCTTTTATGACAGTAATTTCTACCAGAATCAAAATTCAGGGGACTCTGATGACACTGCAAGTTGGAAGAGGTCCAGCCTCTGACACATTGCATATCTGGGCTCCCATACTAACCAAGCAGAACTTCAAGTACGTTCTATTGTCTCTGAGACCCTGCAAAGTTGTAAAATAAAAGCATCAAAGCTTCTCTGTGCTACTAATCTTATGATTACACATCATATACATACATTGAAACACTGAAACATATAAACAGGTAAAGTTGCCATGTCTCAAAATACATATCAAAAAATAAATTTTTGCAAAAGCTTCTGCACATGGTTATTATGGGAATTAAACTGACTTCTCAAACTCCAACTCAGAAAAAGATGCTCTGTCCCTATTAACTCTCTACTCACATGTCCCAGGCTAGCTGTGAAGCTAGGGATTCTTGTGGGTCTCAAGTGCTAACAAAAGAAATACCAAGTATTTTAGTTTGAATAGGGATGGCAACCTAGGGCTGGCACTTTTTTACATTTACTTAGTGTGTCTGTCTGCACACATGTGCCACAGAGCATATGTGGAGATCGGAGGACAACTTTCAGGAGTTAGTTCTCTTTCTACCATGTGGGTTTCAGGGACTGAACTCGAGTTATCAGACTGAAGCAAATGTCCTTACCCACTGAGCCATCTCACCAGGACTGGCACTTTGGAGATCTTGTTTGCCCATGATACATTCTTACTATATTATCAAAGTTTATGACAGTCACAGTTTGATCACATTTCAAGGATATGAGGAACTTGTCAACTGTACAATCTGAGAATTGTACCCTATCTCCTTCTTCTATCCCCCTCCAGAGACAAGTGTTCAAGGTAGAGGTTTTAAGTGGCCTTGTAGGCACCTGTCTTGCCCAGTAGTCCTATCTTTGAGGCATGCACAGGTGATAAAGTGATGGTGGTGTGAATGGATTAGTCTTTCCAGACCTTTGATGATCTCGTAGTCAGGAAGAGCAAGAGAGGTCACGTTCAAGCCCAGCATCTGGGAAACCACCTTCCTGAAGTCCACCAGCTGCAACATCAAGCAGAGACACATGAGCTGGAAAGGCAAAACCTTTCAGTATTGCTGGGTCAAACGCAGCAACGACAGAAAAAGGAAAAGCCACATAGTGTGAGGTAGACATGACTTACCCTCTACTCTGAGTCCTCTCAGTTATGAATAAGTAGGCTTGCCTGCTAACTTACTTCTAAAATCCCTTTGGGTTCCTCAACCTTTGGCAATTCATAAGCACTGTTTTGGTGAGTCAGGTGACCCTGTGTGTTTTTGCTACTGAGTCAAAAACCCTAGTGGAGCAAAGGTCTATGAGACTCTGACTTCACCATGACTCCACTTTTTCACCTCCAGTATGGAATTAACCATCTACTCATGTGTTCTGAAATTCTGAACAAGTAAAAAAATAGCTATGTGTGTGCTGTGTGGACTGGAAAGTTCTATACAAGTGTTGGCATGGACCTGTCACTGAATGGTAAATATTTCTGCTCTGGAATTTTGACTGCACAATGAACTCCTGAAACTACAATGAATGACAAAAATGAGCTGATAAAAACAGGAGGGCTTCCCCCTGCTTCCTCAGTGTGCTGTTATAACCTTGGACTGGATCTGTGATTGCTATGTGTCCATCAAGATGGAGAACCTGGAAGCCAAGGACAACGGTTGACATAGGTATTGTCTCTCCTGGGTCCTCCCAGGATGCTTTCTGTGATCCTAGGCTAACACAGGTAAATTAGGAGTATACAGACACAGCCTCACTAAATACCTTCCGTTTTAAGAAAGGTGTGCCACCCAGCCTGCAGATGGAGTGCTATCAGGAGAATATCCTCCATACATGCCAACACCATGCTCATTCACTCCACAGCTGCCTTCCTGTGAGGGATCCAGAGGGAAAGACAAGATTCTCTCCATCTGCTACCGTCAGAGCATCTGCACTGCCCACCCCCAAGTGTATATTGAAAGATAACCCTCGATTTGATGGTTCTAGAAATCGGGGCTTGGAGAGCTATCAGGTTTGAATGAGGTCATGATCATAAAGTCCTCATCATGGAATTAGTGTCCTTACCAAAGAAGTTTTATCAGAATACTTCTATCATCCGAGGATGTAATGAAGAGACACCATCTGTAAACCACATACCCAATCTGCTGGCACCTTGATCTTAGATGTCCCGGTCTCTAGAACCCAGGAAAGTACTTGCCTTGCTTATGAGCTACCCAGGTTCCCACACTTTGTCACAGCACCCAGAAAGAACAAAACACCACCCTAGTCTCTCAGATGCAAAAGCTTCTCTCAAGCTTTCCCACCCTTTTGAATTTGGCCAAAACTCACAATTCCTGAGATGTTTCCTTCCTGGGAACATTTGTTCTTATAGTTTGGCTCTTACCAGCTCTGTGTGACACATGAGCCAAAGCAGAGGGGAAAATCCGAGGACCAGAGTCTGTTCTCTGCCCTTTTCGGTTTCAGAAAGAAGAGTAACATCCAAGCCAAAGGCAGTAGGGGTCAGGCTGCCCGGGACAGAGTTCTTTTTGCTTGACCTGATGTGCTGAGCAGATAAATGCTCCTCCTTGCAACCAGTCAGCCAATGAGTACTTTTTTATGGCTTACATCTGTGCTTGGTCAACCACGAAGTCTGGGTGCCACTGTTTGAGATTGGAGACTGTTTCCTGCAACTGATCTCTGTGGAAGATAAAGCTTCTCCCCAGAGTTCAAGCCCTGCTTAATGTTAAATGCCATGAGATGAGGCAAACTCCAGAGGCAATCACCAAAAACAATTTTAAAACCTCAGCGTCACCAGAACCTGAGTTCACACTGGCTTTGCACTGCTTTGATAAGAACATTATTTTTTGTCTTTCTTACAATCTATGCCATGCAAGCACAAACTGTTCTTTTGGCAAAGTAAATCAGAGTAGTCATGGGCATGCCAAAAAGACGCTGGCAAGTGGGTGGATCTGTTGAGATGATATAGAAAGCTTTACAAATTGTGTTGGAAGAAATGTACGAATAATGCTCTCTTTGGCAACACATCTACTAAAACCGGGATGACACAGAGGAGCTTGGGAAGGTACTCCAATTCCCAGCATATGCCCTTTAAACATACATATATATATATATAATTTATCTGAATGCTCATCAAGCTTTCAAACCATCCTGTCATGTCCTAAAGATGATTTGACAGATTTCTCTACCTGCTTTTCCCTCTTTTCTGCTTCATCCAGAGACTTCTTCAGGGTCTTCATCTCACTGGTTACCACCGCCAACATGCTCCTGGCCCGTTCCTTGCCCTCTTTCGCCTCGTGCTCTGTAGTATCCAGTTCTGACGTGACCAACAGAAGCTTCTTCTCTGCTTCCTCCTTCATCTTCTCCAACTTGTCTCTGGATTTATTTAAGTCTTCAATGGCTTTGCTCTGTTCCAAAGTTTTAATCTAAGAAGTCAAGAGAATGATCGTCAGAGCCCTTGTAATTCTTGTTATTATTATTTTTAATTTATGTGTATGAGTGTATTGCCTGCATGTAAGTGCTTCGGTGTCATGCAATGCCCACAGAGGTCAGAAGAGGGCACTGGATCTCGTAGAAATGAAGTTACGGATGGTTGCTAGCTACCATGTGGGTGCTGGGAATTGAACCCGGCTCTCTCCAAAAGAAGTCAGTGTTCTTAACCGCTGAGCCATCTCTCCAGTCCTCCCTTGTATTTCTTTAGGAATGCTATATACACAAGATAAATTGGAAGTCAACAGAATTCACTGAACTTTTTATAAATAAAGAATGGACTTCATCCCAAGTAGCTAGAAAGATATTGCTAACATCCTAAGCTGAGTGAGCATGACTTCATTTGTTACACCTCATGTGGTGGTTTGAATGAAAATGTCCCCGATAGGCTCCAAGTGTTTGGACATTTTGTCCCCAGATGGTGGTGCTGTTTTGGGAGGTTTTAGAAGGTGTAGCTATCCTGGAGGAAGCACGTCACTGAGGGTGGGCTTAGAGAGATCTTAAGCCTTGCCAGATCTCTGGTCGGTCTCTTGCTTCCTGTGCCTGAGTGATGATGTGAGAGCTTAACTTCTGCTGGTCCTGGTCCAGACACCTCCAGCCACCATGCCTCCCTGCCACAATGGACTGTAATTCCCCTGGAACCCTAAGCTCAGATAAACTCTTCTTTCTATAAGTTGCTTGGGTCAGTGTTTCAATCACAGCAACAGAAAAGTGACTAATACAGCAATTGGTACCAGAGAGTGGGCTGTTGGCTGTGTAGAACCTGACCATGTGGGGTTTTGAAGAAATGTGCAAGACTTTGGAAGGCTGGGCTAGAAAAGCAGCTGATTGCTGTAAGCGGAGCTCAACAGGCCATTCTAGTAAACACCTGGAAGAAAGCAGCTGGAGTCTGCCAAAAAGCTTGCCTGAGGCTAAATTGAAAAGTAATGGACTAATTTCTCTGGTGGAAGAAATTTCAAGACAGCCTAATGTAGAAATGGTGGTGTGGCTATTAATGGTAAATATTGTGCAGATCTATAGTGAAAGTGAGCAAATGGGGCAGAAAGAAATACAGTTTGGATTGAAAAAGAGCACTAGGCAGATGAATGTTGGAGCCCTGGCATGATGGAGAGGATCCTATTGATAAGATTAAAGTGATTAAGAAGATTAAAGTGAGTAAGGAGGGGCCTAGAGATTCAAATTTAAACAATGGAGAGAGGGCCTCCAGGGCAAGACCACACCCAGTTAAGCGTCCAACTTGTGAAAGGAAAATGCTGCAGGGGCCACTGAAGAGAAAAGCTTCTAAAATGGATAAAGCAGGCTGGAGTTCATCCCAAATCTATAGTCAAACTTGGCAGTGTCCTTCACCCTTCACCCGGTGCTGGCTTTAGAGGCATGAGAGATGGAAGAGTGAAGGGGTCATCAATTCTTCCTCTGAGGTTTCAGAGAGCCTCGGAGGCCAGGCAGTGTGAAGAAGGGGTTCCCCTGCCTAGAGAAGGCCCTGATAGGCCATTGCGTGAAGCTGTGAAGGTGAAGCCTGGTTGGCAATGGAGACCCCAAGAAGTTCGTGATGCCAGAGCTGTGAGAAATCTGCCAAGAAGACCTGTACACAGAGAGTGGTACCAGCATAAGAGAGAGATGTGCATTGCATGCCTAGAGAGGCTGAGCCACCTAAGCCCTTTAGAAGTAAAGTACCAGGAGTTGGACATGGAGCTACTGGATTTGGTGTTTTCCCTGCTGGTTTTGGGTCTTGTTTTGGTCCAGTATTTCCTTACTATGCCTCCATTCCTCCCTTTTGGAATGGTAATTGTATTCGGTTCCACTCTACATTGGGAGTATATCATTTGTCTTTTGATTTATAAAGGTTACAGTTAAGATATTTACCTGTAGATATTTGAAAAGTACTGAGGCTGATAATGACTGTGGGGACTTTTAAAGTTGGACTAAATGTATTTTGCATTTAAATGATCATCAGCCTATGGCGGCCAGGGGGTGGAATGTGATGCTTTGAATGAAAATGTCCCCCATAGGCTCCAAGCATTTGGACATTTTGTCCCCAGATGATGGTGTTGTTTTGGGAGGTTTTAGAAGGTGTGGCTATCCTGGAGGAAGCACGTCACTAGGGGTGGGCTTAGAGAGTTCTTAAGCCTTGCCAGATTGCAGTTGCTCTCTTTCTTCCTCTGCCCACATGATGATGTAAAAGCTTCACTTCTGCTGCTCCTGGTCCAGCCACCTCCAGCCACCATGCCTCCCTGCCATGATAGACTGTAATTCCCCTGGAACTGTAAGCTCAAATAAACTCTTCTTTCTATAAGTTGCTCGGGTCAGTGTTTCTATCACAGCAGAAAAGTGACTACTACACCTTATAAACAGCATATCGGAGCACCACTATTTGGAAAATCAATCAGACAAAACTGTAGACAGCATGATTTGGGTCAGAGACCGCTAACACAAAGCCCATAATCAACTCAGACCGTCTACCCCTATCAGTGGATCCCTGTGCCTTGCAGATGAACATTAAGAATAGCAGAATGTCTCCTCTTCCAGTGGTAGGGAACAGGGGAGGCCCCTGGCACATCTCCCTCATTGATATGAGGAAAATCTAGATCATCTGTAACTCAGAAGTATCTTTGGGCTCCACTGATGAGTGTGACAGGCAGGTGTCACTGAATCCCATGTAGACAAAGGGCAGAGATGTTTCCCCCACTGAAGACTCCTCCCAGGCCCTTAAAGCCCAGAGGCTCCTGGGATAGGAGGTGTGTTTCCATTATCAGCTTATTTAAGATTCTACAAGAGCTGCTTACAAAAGAATTTAAGTAAACAAGGAATGAAATTTCAACATGCCCTACAACGTGGATGAATGATAAAAAATATCCTGACTGAAGCAAGCCAGACAGAAGGGAAAATGTTGTAAAATACCACTTATGTGACATACCTAGAGCAGGCTAAAACATAGAGTGTGAAAACAGGGGTTACCAGGGGCTAGAGAAAGAAGGAAATGGGAGCCCGTGTGGTAGGCACACATTTTGAGTTTGGGTGATGGAAAAGTTCGCGAAATGGGTGGTAGTGGTGATTACACCACACTGTGAACTTTCTCTGTGCTGCTGACATTCATATCTAATAATGGTAAGGTGATGAGCTTTATGTTATGCTTATTTCACTATAACATTAAGAAATATGAACTAGTTTTGTGCCAACACAAATATTTTAAATGACCAGAAGCAAGGGAGAGTAGGGAGGTGGGGTGGATCTGAGAGGAGATGGGGTGAGTGGGCCTGAATATGATGAAATACATTATATGAAACTCTCAAAGAATCATTAAGAATATATATTAAAAGTAAAATAAAATAAACACAAGCTACATATGGCGGCTGTGATGGTTGGTTAGTTAGTAACTGTCACCTTGACACAAGCTAGAATCAGCTGGGAGAGTTTCAATGAGGAACTGTTTCCATCATATTTGTCTGTGGGGGATTGTCTTGATTGCCTTAATTGATATGGGAAGACTTAACCCACTGTGGGGAGCACCTTTCTCTAGTTGGGGGCCTGGGCCATATGAGAGTAGAGAAATCCAGTTACGCACAACCAAGCAAGCAGTAGAAGCTTGCATGTGTTTATTTCTTTCTGCTCTTGACTGTGGACACAATGTGACTCACTCTTTCAGGCTCTGGCTACTGTCATTTCCTCACAGTGATGGACTGTAACCTGGAGCTGTAAGCTAAATAAACCCTTTCTCCCCTAAGTTGCTTTTGTCAGAGTATTTTATCACAGCAACAGGAATGAAACTAGGACAGGGAACATACTTATAATCCCAGCAAGTGAGAGGTAGAGGCAGGACAGTCAGATGTTCAGGGCCAGCCTTGTCATGTTCATAATGAGTTCAGGGCTACATAAGATCCTGCCTCAAAAAATACTAAATAAATAAATAAATAAATAAATAAATAATACAAATGAACTACAAGACAATATCCACTAGGTGACTAAACTAAAAAGAACATTTACAAAAGTTAGCAATGAAGTAGGGAACGAGAACACTCACTGATGGGTGGAATGTGAGGTACAAATAGCATGAAAGGCAGTTTTCAAAAAGTAAACCTGCCAGGCATGGTGGCGCACGCCTTTAACCCCACCACTTGGGAGGCAGAGGCAGGCAGATCTCTGTGAGGTCGAGACCAGCCTGGTCTACATAACGAGTTCCAGGTCAGCTGGGGCTACAGGGAGACCCTGTCTCAAAAAGACCAAAAAGAAAAAAAAAGTAAACCTATGACCCAAAAAATTCCACTCATAGTAAAAAACCAGAGAAACCTAAAAACATATGTCCACCAAAAAAGCTGGATACAAAGTTTATAGAAACTTAATTTTTAATCTCAAAAAAGTGGGAACAATCCAAATGTCCATCAGTTGATGAATGGAGAAAAATGTGGTACAGCCACACAGTGAAATGTCATTCCACGATAAACAAGAAAGGCGTTTTATGACGTGCTACAGCATAGATGAGCCCTGAAAACGTGCCAAAGGAAAGAAGCCAGCTGCCAAAGACCACACAATTCCCTTATTATGAAAGAGACAGAAAAGGTCTGAGACTGGAGAAAGGGAAGAATGGGTACAGTGTAGGTGCAGAGTTTATTTAGGGATAATAAAATATTATAAAATTAAATATTGTTTGCACAAGTCTGAGGCTACACTAAAACCCCACTGAATTCTATGTTCCATGTTCTACATTCCCTGGTATGCGAATTGTGTCTTGTGGCTTCTGACATGATAAAGCTATTGTTGAGAGTAAAAGGGTTCTGAAAACTATCAAAATCAATGGCTTTGAATAAATACGCACACATGGAGTGAGCAAAGTAGATGCAGCTCTGGCTTTAGTGCTGAGGTTCCTCATATAGCAGGCAATGTCCAGAAGTCCGTTCTCAAAGGAAACAAATATTGTTTGGGGTTTCTTAATTTTGTGTTC